TACGCCAACATATACAGTTCTTCTTAAGGTTTTTATTGGCTCACAGGATTCTTTAGACTTTTTAGAAGAAGTATGATAATTTATTTATTAAATATGTTTTAACACAAATTGATACTTATATGAATTATATACATTTTATATTAGCTTAAGAATCATTTGAACTCTGATGATAACAAACTTGAAGTATATGGATTAACTCAAAACGCAACAACTAACGAATATATGTTAGTATTTAATAAATTCGAAAGAAATATACAATATGGAATGTGTACAGGTTGTTACCAATATAATACATCAAGAGCCTGGTGTCAATCATGCGATCCTTATAGAGAAATTCAAGGGTGGACAAGTGGAAATAAAGATATTGATGATTGTATAAAAGAATTTCAATTGAAGTCTACAAAATACGAGAAAGTGATCGAATGGATTCCTTTTAGCAGATTAAATAATATTCAAAGTATTGATGATAATGAACATAATCCAACATTTTTAGCAACCTGGTTAGATGGTAAACGAATAATTTCAAAGGAATTTAAAGAATACACTAAGTCACGTACGCCAACATATACAGTTCTTCTTAAGGTTTTTATTGGCTCACAGGATTCTTTAGACTTTTTAGAAGAAGTATGATGATTTATTTATTAAATATGTTTTAACTCAAATTGATACTTATATAAATTATATACATTTTATATTAGCTTAAGAATTATTTGAACTCTGATGATAACAAACTTGAAGAATATGGATTAACTCAAAACGCAACAACTAACGAATATATGTTGGTATTTAATTACCGATATACAAGAAACGTAAGGTATGGAAAATGTGCATATTGTAATCAATATAATACATCAGAAGGCTGGTGTCAAACATGCAATCCTTATATAACAATTCAAGAGTGGACAAGTGGAAATAAAGTTATTGATAATTGTATTAGAGAGCTTCAATTTAAATCTACTAAATATGAAAAAACTATTGAATGGATTCCTTTTAACAAATTAAATAATATTCAAAGTATTGGTGATAATAAACATAATTCACCATTTTTGGCAACCTGGTTAGATGGTAAACGAATAATTTCAGGGGAATATAAAAAATACACTAAATCACGTACACCAAAATATCCAGTTATGCTTAAGATTTTTCTTGGTTCACAATTTTCTTTAAATTTTTTAAAAGAAGTAAGCTAATTATTATTATTTATTATATACATGAAATTAATGCTTACACAATTATATACGTTTATTTTTAAGTTTAAGAATTTCTTGCAATCAGATAGTAACCAACTTGAAGTATACGGGCTAACTCAAAACACAATAACTAATGAATATATGCTAGTATTTAATAAATTTTACGAAAGAAATCAATACTACGGAGAATGTGCATATTGTAATCAATATAATACATCAAAAGCCTGGTGCCAACCATGCGACCCTTATAGAATAATTCAAGAATGGACAAGTGAAAATATCGATATTGATGATTGCATTAAGGAGTTTCAACTAAAGTCGACCAAATATGAAACAGTGATTGAATGGATTCCATTTAATAGATTTGATAATATTCAAATAATTAGTAAAGGTGGATTTGGTTCAGTATTTTCAGCAATCTGGCTAGATGGTATTCGATCAGTTTCAGGTCAATATGGAGAATATTCAAAATCACGTATACCCTCATATATAGTTGAACTCAATATTTTACCTGGCTCTCAGAATTCATTGGATTTTTTAAAAGAAGTAAAATTTTTTTAATAATATTTGTTAATTCATATTTATTAAGTATATTAATGCAATTTATTTTATTTTACAAGTTTAAAAGACAAATGCAAATAGAAAATAATGCATTTAAAATATATGGAATAACACATCGTCCAGAAAATGATGAATATATGATGGTATCCGAAAGTATAATTAATAATGAAGATAATGACGAATTTGCCTCTAAACGAAATTATTGTTATGGTAAATGCATAAAATGTAATCGGTTTAACACTTCAAAAGACTGGTGCCAGTCATGCGATCCTTATGAAATAGCTCAAAAGTGGACAAGCGGCAATAAGGATATAGATGATTGTATTAAAAAATTCCAATTTAATGCTACTGAACATGAAAAAGCAGTTGAATGGATTCCTTTTAATAAGCTGAATGACATAGAAATGATTGGTAAAGGTGGATTCGGCACAGTATTTTCGGCTAACTGGGAACAAACAATTGAAAATCAATATCAACGTTCAAATGAAAAATTTATCAAGGTTGCGCTCAAGACATTACCAGGATCTCACGCGAATTCTAATGATTTTTTAAAAGAAGTAAGTTAAACTATAAGTAATTATTTATTTTTAAATATGTCAGTAAATTAAGTTTGCATAAATTTTTTTTAGTTTGAAAGTCATATGAATTGCAGATTAAGTGGCAGTAGACTTGCAGTATATGGACTAACCCAAAATATAGAAACAAAAGAATATATGATGGTACTTCAATATGCCAATGAAGGCAACCTTCATAAATATCTAACGTTAAATTTTCATGAACTTTTTTGGGAAGATAAATTATTTCTATTAATTGATATATTAAAAGACTTAATTAAAATTCACAAAACTGGATATATTCATTGTGATCTTCATTGTGGTAATATTTTACATCATAAAGGTATTTGTTCATTAAAATCTTATATTGCAGATTTAGGGTTATCTCGAAAGAATGAAGAATTAACTTCACAAAATGGAATATATGGAGTTATGTCTTATCTTGCCCCTGAAGTTTTATTAGGTCAACAATATACACAATCAACTGATATTTATAGTTTTGGTATTATTATGGCAGAGATAACTACAGGAATACCTCCGTTTTATGAACGTTCATTTGATATTGATCTTGCGTTAGAAATTTGTAATGGGTTAAGACCTGGTTTTGCTTCAGAAACCCCTAACTGCTATGTTGAATTAGCAAAATTATGCATGCATTCAGACCCACAAAAGCGGCCCATTGCTGAAATTATTATAAACAAACTTTCCGAATGGCACAGTTTTATATATCAACCTGATGAACCTGATGAATTTGATGAATCTGATAATTGTGAAAGTTTTGATGAAAAATTGAAAATAACCGAAGAATTTGACGTTGCTAATAATATAATTCCTGAATTATCAATAACTTTACGAGAACATTTACTTGTAGATGTCGTACACACAAGTAAATTTATTAATACATACGACATTTTACAACGTTTTAATGCGAAAAGTGCTCAATATGACACTACAGGTAATTACACTATTTAAACTGCAATTTTAAGTTATTATTTAACATAATTTATTTAACCTTTATCCGCACAGATTCATCCTTTAGTGATCTCGAAGTTCCAGGTTCTAATGAACCTAAACTATTTTAAAAAACATATCTTTATAAGAGGAAATTTATAAGAGATATTTGATATCAATACTGAGATATTACTACTTTGTAGGTTGCAATTATAAAATATTTCATTATTTATAGTTGACACTATTCCGAACTAATGTTTTGGGTAAAAAAAAAGTTTATTATATATAATTTCTGTTTCCATACGAACTAATATTAAATTTAGAATTCTTATCAAATGCGATAAAGTTGTGGGGGACATGCTGGATGAAGTTGTTTTAAAAATTCAATAAAAAAAGGATGTTCAATAAGTCTTCAAAGTAATCCACAACATATAAATATAAATGCTTTAAGAAGTGTTCTATTTATTGATTCAATATGTTTATCAGGTATAATGTTACTTTCAAGAAATTCATTTAAACTTAATTGATCACTTGAATGCCTTGTTCTAATAGATTTTTCCCTTGATTCAACAATATATATAACTGCTTTTTTTGTTGTTTTAGAAACTTTTGTACATTCACTAATAATATGTTTTTCTATTAGAGGTAGCTTTTCAAGAAAAATATTTGACTACATGTTTTACAAATTGCTTCATAATTATCTAAATTATCTAATAATTTGTCTCTATCATAAAATTTCAAATTGGCTTTAATAGATAATCACTAATATTCTTTTTAGAGTTAGATTTAGCTTTTTTGGATTCTAATATATTAAAATAATATATGTTATAAAATAAATGTTCAAGTAGATAGGTTTTAAAGAATAATTATACAGATTGTATATAATAATATTTAGGATTATTTTGCATATTAGCATTAGGAACATGCAAAATCTGTAATATAATTTAATAAATTTGTTTCAATAGTGATAAATTATTTAATTTATTATAATTAACTATTGATTAAAATTAAAACACTAATTTAATAAAAATATAATGATATTACATTTTACAATTAAAACAAATTACTTGTTTTTTGTAATTTACTATGATTTATTTTAATTACAAAATTTGTATGTCCAAATTAACTTATTCTATATATTAGCATAATTTATATGAAATACATATAAAATTATCATATTATTATGCTAATTTATCATAATACTGATCATATGTAATAATAATTAGGACTATTTTATATATTAATATAATAATTAAGACTATTTTGCTATTAGTATAATAATTAGGACTATTCTATATATTAATATAATAATTGATAGTTTTGAGTATTTAAAAAGTTCAGATAGGATTTTTGAGATTTTAAGCAGAGTTTTGAAGTTTTGAGTAGGGTTTTAGGTTTTGGGTTTTGGAAGAGGTTTCAGAATCTATAATCTGAAATCTAAAACTTTTTAATTTAGCTAAAAAGGTTTTGAGTCCTAATTCTAATACAGATCTTCTATCTATAGATTCTATTAAGAATTCTTTATATAATATTATATCATACTTTTAATATCTAATTGATATTAGTATAATATAATTTATAGGGTTACAACTTCAAAAACAAACAGAGTTTACTAAAAATTAAATATAAAAGTTTAGTAATTATTCAAATCATTAACAATAGGATTTAAACTCTTAATCTCTTGTATAGTAATCCAGTAATCTAACTACTATACTAAAATTTTATTTTATTTTTTTTTAAGCAAAGCCAAGGTAAAGCTATATTTCTATCTTTATTAATAATTTAATTAAAATTTACAAAGAAATTTTTATATACTATATAATACAAGGTATAATCTTAAACTAAATAACAAGATTTGAAACTCAGACTAATTTATCTATGACCTAAACCTACTAGAGTAGTCATGACTCACTAAAATTTGAATGTTGATAATGTTATTAGTTAGGATACTATATTTTATCTATTCAATAGACCAAATATATAGTTTATGATAAGCTAATCCTTCTAGAGAGCATAGAGAGTTTTTGTGTTGTTTTTAAGATAGCTATATATATAAGTAATTTTATTTGAGTTTAGATGATTATATGTTAAAAGTAAACTTAATTGTATAGTATTAGCTTGTATATTTTGTTTATAGAAATTAATATTGTTTGTTTGTTTTTATTCAGAAAGCTTGGTACAGCAAGATTTCTATAGTTGCTTATATATTGATTCTGATATTTTTATAAATAATAATATTATAAGTTGACAAGCAGATTTGTGGGAGTCAGTATATAGATATAGTAGCTAAATAAGATTATTTGGAATAAGATCTGTAATAGTTTGATAAAGTGAAATATTGTTAGAAAATAGTTGTAATAATTGTAAAAAATAATAATTAATAAATGAGTTTTGAAGATAAAGAAGTTGTGAGTATGAAATATCAAGATTGTTTGTTATAAAATTGGATTATATATTTGATTTAATTATATTAAAGATTAAGTTGGGTTAGGGCAAAATATCCAATATATGCTATCATCTGATTAATTGCAATAAATATATTGTTTTGTTTTAATAATTTTAGGATAATATCTATATAACTGAGATATAGTTAGAAGATTGCTAAGGAAATTTTTAACTCAGAAGGTTTTGGTTTTACTCAGTTTGTAGTTAATATAGTTATATGATTGTAGAAGATTATTATTAATTACTGCCTAAGTTAAATTTTAGTTAACTTGGTTTGAGAATTGTTTCTAAAGTTATGCTCTAAATTGTGAGGACCATAGAGTTATTGTAAAAGTATTACAAATATTTTTAATAAATTTATGTACTGGTTGTTTAACAGAAAAATTTTTCTATTAAAGTATGTAGAAATTATTAAAATAATTTGTATAATTGAATTTGAGAAATTCTAGAAGTGAATTGTGTAATACTAGAAAGTTAGTTGTATTATTAAATTTATTATCACTGTATGCTTAAACTTTTTGAATAACAATGTTAATATTTTGTGATTTGATAAAGTTAAGTAAGGTTTTCCAAATTGGCTAGTAATTGTATTTTGTTTTAGTATTATAATTTGTTGTTTGTTGTTGAATTTGTTATATTTAGAAATTACTGATTATAAGTTAGTAAAGATTTATAATTTGCAATTTTTTAGTAAAGTACTTATAACAAAAAGTATTGCAATAAGCTCTGCTTTATAAGATGAAGGCCAAGTTTTAATTTGTGCTGCAAAAGTTTTAACTACTTGGTTGTTAAAAATTTGAACCCAGCTAATTTCTATAGAGCATTGCTTTGTGTATATATTTTGTACTAAACTATCAGTATAGAATATAAGCTCTTGTTGATTCAAATTTTGTTTAGCTATATCTTGCAAAGTTTTTGAAATTTTATTAGATTTGAATATTTTAGCTATATAGTTATTTTTCAAGTTAATGCTTAGAAGAGGTAGAATAGTTAGCAGATATCTAATTGCTAGATTATAAATTAAATCTGTTAAATTAGCATTTAGCTTTAATTTATTTAAGAGATTATTTGTAAAAGACCTAGCCTAAACTTTAGTACTATATATAGCTAATATATCAATAGTATATAAGTTTTTAATACAGTTAGAGTTTAAACTGCAACCTAGATATAATATATAGTTAATAGAATAGTTTGGATAGTAGGCTATATAGCTTGAGTTATAGTCTGTAGTCTAATAGGTTATTGATATAGTATTGCTGATTGAGAAAAATTTATGAGCCTTTTCTAAAGTAATTTGATTGTTAGTTATTGAAAGTATCTATAGTTTCTTGGTTCTGAAATAGTCTGTACTTAGAAGAAAAGGATCAAGAGAGTTTAAAGATATTGAATCTATAATCTTTTTAGTATAAGAGCTTGTAGTAATAGTTTTTTCTAAAAAAGAGAACTACAAAGGCTGTTTTCTATTAGAAAGGTATTGTAATCAAGATGAAATATATTGCTATTTTAGAAGAGTATTGTTTCAGATATTGTAAGTTGGTCTAAATATATAAGGTTTTTTCTTCAAAGCTGTTGTTTAAATATTATGTAAAGAGGATATTTGTTAAGTATTGGTTTTAGTAGATATACTTTGTCTTGATAAGTTTTAGGCTATTAATAGTTATTATTAGCTATAATAACTATATTGAGTATATTAAAAAGCTTAATGATTTTGTAGGTTGTTGTATATTTGTTTAGTCTTTTAATTATAAGATTTGAATATTGAAGAATATTTGTAGTAGACTATAAAATATTTTGTAGTTATTGAACTTAGATTTGTGTGAATATCCCTAATAAATCAGAGTTATTAAGCTATAATAAAAAGTTAGTTATATAATATTGTAATTGAATACATATATTTAAATATATATAACTCTTTCTAATGATCCTTTTCTCAAAAATTTGAAAAAGCAAAAAACAAAAATTTTATTGTAAATGATGAAGAAGGTTTATTTATAATACAATAGTTTTTACAGAGGTCAACTAGACTTGCTACTAGGGACTTCTTTGTATATTTAATATGCAAGCTAAAAGTAATATTATACAAGATAACTAGCAGGTAGAGCCCTTGTATAAAAAATTTTAGTAAAGAGACAAAAAAGAGCTCTTTGTTAATAAAGTTAGTAAAAGAAGACTTAAGAATAGGAGACAATAAACTATTTTGTCTACACACTCCTTTGGGTCTCAGAAAACAATATTCTATCACAAACTTTTTTCTTCTGGTCTTCTTTTTTTTTGATAAAAGTAGGGAATTTAGGTTCCTTCCTACAAAAGATTAGCATTGTTTACTCCTTCTATTTTCAGAAATACTCTGTGGATTTGCAACCTCATACAGTAAACAAAGTTACATACTTGTGTCTGTAACGTAACCTTGATGCTATAGGTTTTAATTTTCTAAGATAGACTTTATATTAGAAAGCAATTATTCAAGATAGTTATAAGTTGCATAACTTAAAATTTTTAAACCTGACCCAGGTTATAGAGTACTTGGTTATCTTTTTTTCATTTTCTGTTTTTTATTCTATATTAGTTTTTTTTACCTGTGGCAGGTTTTTTTAGTATAGACTTCGTTATAGACTGTAACTACTTAGGTCTATACAATTTTTAATCTTTTTATATTTTGAGACTAGGTACTAACTTCTTTTTACTT